TCTATTTAAAAAATCCAAACAAAACTGCATCCTCCTTTGGCATTGTTCTGCTCATGGTTTTTGTGTTTAACAAAATTTAAATGCATTTTATTTAGATTGTTTCAAAACTGAGTGGATTGATCCCCTAAAAATACCTGTTTCTTCATATAATCTAGTAATAGAGACAAATGGATGTGCTTAATAGAATCCTAATATGTTTCATTTATTTTCTTCATGACTTGTTGTTTAGTGATATATCAAACAGAAATATATTTTTATTTGCCAGTCAGGGCACTCTTTAATGTTACATAAAAATTTCCTATTTTTGCCGATTTGTCAAAAACGAGTGAACTAAAATATAAAGTGTAATAAAGTTGTAATCGGAATAAGATATTCTATTAAACACATATATTCTATTAAAAAAATATTATGTAGGCTTATATGTCAGAAAATTGGTAGTATTTTGTTTTATACGTCACTCGGAATAAACTTGGCTACTAACCTTACATTTTGTTTTTTTGTTTACCTTGATATCTCTGAAAACAAAAAAGTTACAGCCAATTAAAATGTTATCAACATAAATCGAACCCACGGTACATCAGGAGTCATGCTGTATCATGCTCTCGACTTATTCCAAGGGACGAAAATCAAGCTCGAATTTTTAATTGCGCTTTTCGAAACTTTCAAAATTGTAAGTGGCCTTTGATGTTTTTCATAGGGAACGGATTCGCAAAAGCACCATATTTTAATAGAAAAACTTTAAAATTACTATTTCATTTACGGAGAAAATTTTAACGAACTACCGTCCCCGCGGCAAGCCATGTAGAAAACAACTTTTTCGAAAGGTTAATTGAAATGGCGGAATCGAATGCGAAGTATTTTTAAACATTCATAATTTGATTGGTTCCTTTTTGGTACCAATGAATATTAACACCTGCACGGCATGCAGTTCGTCGTTTTGAAAATACTCTAAAACTGAAGTAAAAACTTTAGTTGGTCAAGTAATTGTTATACATATGTATATTTGATTAGTAATATTCATTATTATTGACTTAATGTGTGAAGTAATGAATAAATAATCTAAGATGTTGCCGTTTTCGAAATCCATCTTTAATATTTCATGAAGTGAACGATGTCGGTAATAACAACTTCAATAACTCATTCAAATTTTTCATTATATCTTTGTTTTTTTTTTAATTTTTCAAAATTTTTTAGATTTTGTTTTAAATTCATCAACTTTTCTGTTAATAATAATGCATATCTAAACTTCATAGTTTTTCCAATATTTCAATATTTTTTTTTTAATACTAGTTTCCACACTTGGAAGAAAATTATGATAGCGCCATTATTTTTGAATATATCCGATAATACCGTTATTCAAAGATCACGTAAAAGATGTATACAACGGAATTTGAATAAGATGCTACAGGGTTTTCAAAACAAACTTACTTTTTTTATGGATTTAAAATTTGGACGTTGTTGTGGTCCTTGGATTTTCCATCATTTTCTTTTGCATTATTGGTAATGTCAGCTCATGACTAATTATTTCGATAGTATTTGTACAGACCAAAAATACAAAAATAATTTGAAAATACAGTCACGTATTTGAAAATATTTATTTTTGCAAATTATTAAAAATTCTAGTTTTTGTTGAAAAAATTGTTGGTTTTTTGAATACTTTTCGTAAACTCTGTTTGTAATTTTAATACTGTCACATGTATTCCAGTAACTACTAAAAACTTAGACGAACTCGAGCCGCCAAAGGGACGATATTAGAAATAAAAATAAAGAAAGAAAATAAAAATTAATATATTTATATTTTAAACATTACATGGTATGGTTTCCAAAGAAATCCAGAGATCCAAATCTTACCTAAGCTAGCAATAAAAAGAGCGCTATCTCTCGGTTCGATAATTGGACCGTACCAGCTCTGCAAAAAGCGCATAGTTGATGCGTCTTTTACAAAATATCGATTTCGATATAAATACTAAAAACCAATTGATTTGTAACAACGAAAAGTTGGGACAGGTTAAATTGAGTACCATCCAAAAGTGTATCAACCTGTGGGTAATGAAAAATGCATAATAACCCCAAATATTGAGTTTCCAGTTTGTACTAGGTTTACCAAATTAATTATTATTTAAGAAGTGAACTTCAAAAACATCAAATCTTGAAAGTTTAAAGCACTTTTTTCTTATTTCAAGGGATATACACCTCTTCTTAAATATTCCTTTTTTATAAATTTTATAGATTCCATAGCATTTTATGCAATTGAGTTTCATAATTTGATCTTTGAAATTCTATTTCTAATATAAACTTGTATAAATGAAATTAAACCGTCAAATAAATAATATTCACAGTTAAATTGGTTAAGGCTTTCGCGGCCCGTTGATAAGCTATTATCTTGATTCGGGTTTAAAGGCCGTCGTCGATCGGAATTACTTCCTAACGTTTCGCTAGCACGAGTGGCGAGCTTCTGCAGAGGTCCTTCCATCTCCGATGTTGGACGTAGACTGACGATTGCTCCTGCGCAGGTTGTATTTATGCCGATTGGTGGTGGGCGGGGCTTGTTCCGCTTCGGTTGGTCTCGGGATATCGATCGGTACTGCTCGGGCGTTCCTAAGGATCGGGTTCCAGATTTGGTTGAGTCTAAGGGTCTCCTCCTTTCGGTTGAAATTGTGTGGGTGTTTTTGTATTTCAATGGCTTCCCTGACTAGTCTGTTGTGATAGCCGTTGACCGATGCTAGTAACTTACAGCTCTCAAAGTGTTCCCCGCTGCCCAGTGCGTGTTCAGCTACTGCAGACTTCTCTGTATGTCCTAGCCTGCAGCTTGCTTTATGCTCCTTAAGTCTCGTTCCCATTGATCTCTTGGTAGTCCCGATGTAGACCTTTCCGCATGAACACGGAATGCGGTAGACTCCTGCAGCTGAAAGTGAGCCCCTCTTGTCCTTCGCTGACCTGATGGTCTGCTGGATCTTCTTTGTAGGCTTAAAGATTGTTTTGATGTCGTGTCTTTTCAATACTCTGCCAATCCTGTCGGTGACACTCGGAATATACGGCAGATATGCGTGGGAGGTGGAGGGTCGTTGTTCGGTATCCCGTGATCTTGATGATCTTGAGTTCATTGATCTCTCGATCTCCCTCTTGCTGTAGCCATTTGCCTCGAACGCAGTTTTTAGGTGTTCAAGTTCCATCTGGAGGTTCTCCGGTTCGCAAATCCTTCGGGCTCGTTCTGTCAGGGTTCTGATAACCCCATACTTTTGACTTGGGTGATGGTTGGATAGAGCATGCAGGTATCTGTCCGTATGGGTTGGTTTTCTGTAAACTGTGTGGCCCAGCTTCTTACCTCGCTTCCTCACTAGTACGTCAAAGAATGCAAGTTGTTGGTCATTTTCAGTCTCCATAGTGAACTGGATGCTGGGATACTGACTGTTGAGATGCTGCAGAAAGTTGTTGAGCTTGTCCATACCATGTTTCCAAATCACGAAGGTGTCATCCACGTACCGGAACCACGTTGCTGGCTTGTACTGCCTCAGGAAGGCAAAACCACCCAAGACTAACCTGACGAGAAGTGAAGGACTGGCACTGCGTAGCCTGAACACGGATGAGGATATCATCATACTCCCAGCGGACAAAGGAAACGCAACCGTTCTTCTGAAGACCGAGGAGTACGATAGGAAGATTGAGGAACTCTTGGACCCGGGAAGCTACAAACCCCTGAAAAAGGATCCGACGCAAGTTAGACTACGTCTTACCAACCGGCTCATCAAGTCATCATCACTGTCAGAACAAATCAAGAAGCGCATTGTGAGGACGGAGACTGTTCCACCAAGGCTCTAGGGACTACCTAAGATACACGAAGTAGATGTCCCGTTAAGACCAATAGTTAGCGCACCCGGATGACCAACTTGGCTAAACATTTGGCATCGCTGCTCCAACCACACGTAGGACACGGCACCAGTTACATCAAGGACTCCACCGACTTCGTGCGCAAGATTCAAGATATTAATATTGAACAAAACGACATCCTTGTGAGCTTCGACGTCGTCTCACTGTTTACTAAAGTACCTCTGAAGAGTTGCTTGGACCTGGTGAACAGGATATTTCCTGTCGATATTTGCAAACTTTTTGAAGTCTGTCTGACTGGTAGCTATTTCGTGTGGAAGGGAAACTTCTACGAACAGGTGGACGGAGTGGCAATGGGAAGCCCACTAAGCCCGGTTATAGCCAACTTATTTATGGAACACTTTGAGGAAAAAGCGATCGAGACCTCAGAATGTGGTTCCGGTACGTGGATGACACCTTCGTGATTTGTAAACATGGTATGGACAAGCTCAACAACTTTCTGCAGCATCTCAACAGTCAGCATCCCAGCATCCAGTTTACTATGGAGACTGAAAATGACCAACAACTTGCATTCTTGGACGTACTAGTGAGGAAGCGAGGTAAGAAGCTGGGCCACACAGTTTACAGAAAACCAACCCATACGGACAGATACCTGCATGCTCTATCCAACCATCACCCAAGTCAAAAGTATGGGGTTATCAGAACCCTGACAGAACGAGCCCGAAGGATTTGCGAACCGAAGAACCTCCAGATGGAACTTGAACACCTAAAAACTGCGAGAGATCAATGAACTCAAGATCATCAAGATCACGGGATACCGAACAACGACCCTCCACCTCCCACGTATATCTGCCGTATATTCCGAGTGTCACCGACAGGATTGGCAGAGTATTGAAAAGACACGACATCAAAACAATCTTTAAGCCTACAAAGAAGATCCAGCAGACCATCAGGTCAGCGAAGGACAAGAGGGGCTCACTTTCAGCTGCAGGAGTCTACCGCATTCCGTGTTCATGCGGAAAGGTCTACATCGGGACTACCAAGAGATCAATGGGAACGAGACTTAAGGAGCATAAAGCAAGCTGCAGGCTAGGACATACAGAGAAGTCTGCAGTAGCTGAACACGCACTGGGCAGCGGGGAACACAGGATACACTTTGAGAGCTGTAAGTTACTAGCATCGGTCAACGGCTATCACAACAGACTAGTCAGGGAAGCCATTGAGATACAAAAACACCCCCACACAATTTCAACCGAAAGGAGGAGACCCTTAGACTCAACCAAATACGGAACCCGATCCTTAGGAACTCCCGAGCAGTACCGATCGATATCCCGAGACCAACCGAAGCGGAACAAGCCCCGCCCACCACCAATCGGCATAAATACAACCTGCGCAGGAGAAATCGTCAGTCTACGTCCAACATCGGAGATGGAAGGACCTCTGAAGAAGCTCGCCACTCGTGCTAGCGAAACGTTAGGAAGTAATTCTAATCGACGACGGCCTTTAAACCCGAATCAAGATAATAGCTTAATATTCACAGTGTTTTATTTAAAAAAATCTCTTTATACCTAAATACTGACTCCTGAGAAAATCTGACACGGTCACTGTAAAGTGCTATAAAAGCAGAATTTTTTAATTTAATTTATCTATTTTTTGGGGATTTCTATCTGCGGCCCATCAATACGTTTGGAACCGGTTATTCGCACATTTTCAACATGCTACCAAATTTCAATATTTTCGCAAATTTCAATGTTTAATTTCTGAAATATTCGGTGACCTAATTTTCATACCGTTCAAAGAATAAATCCCGCTATTCAGGACATGGTTTTACTACAATCTATTGAGATACCTATAAATTCAAATAAAAGGCCGTCAGTGCGATTAGAACGGAACTAATTAATTTTGGTAAATAAATACTTTTTGACAATAAAACAAATAAAAATCAAATAGACCGGGATTCCCCGCACAAATTTAATTAAATGATAAAATGAAATTAGCTGTGACAACTGGTAACGGTAGCCGCTGTATTTAGCTTATTTTTAAAGATTTGCAATCTACAAACTTCAAGTTACCCAGCAGCAAACATAAACAGAGCAAGAAGGATGGCAACGCTCTTTACTGAAACCAAATTTTTGTTATGTACAAATATTTTTCTACTCGCTTCTGTAAAATACCTAATTATGCACCGATCTAGTGCGCGACCTAATATTGTCGGAGATATTACCCCACTTCTGACGGTTGTCAGTGGATTTATTCGTGTTGTGTGTTGCTAAAGGTCGTAGAACAATTATAGTATGCAACACGTTTAGAAAACTTTTTGAGTCACTCTTTTATAAAAGCACTCGTTCCGCAAATTATAGGTCCTGATCCCTCAAATGCCGTTTACCACACTATTATTATTTGTTTCCACAATTACAATATATAGGAAAATTTAATACCTATTTAGAGATTGAATTTTATTAATCTTGACTGCAAAGAAAGTTTCTTAACTCTTTTCCATGTGAAAAGTGCTTTAATATTTTTATAATTTTATAAATTGGATCGTTTTCTGAATATATCAATACTTTATAAAAGATGCGAAAGTAAATTTCAACAGGAATTTGGAATTATCTAAAGTTTTCAGAATTGTTTTAAAATTCATAATAGTGGAGTAAAAAAGCCTGTAAAAGTCGCTCCTTTCTTGAAAAAAAAAATCGAATTAGTACCAGATGAAACCTGACTTAAATCATTAGTTAGCTTATTTTTTAGGGGTACCGCGTTTTGTAAAATCGAAAAAACCCGCGGAAATTAAAAAAAAATACTTTTTGTCATTCATCCTCAAATAATTCTGAAACTATTCAACATATTCGAATGATTTTTTGTTTGACTTGAAGACCATACATCAGCGATGATAACTAAGGCGATATAATTTTCAGATTTTATATTTTTCATTTTTTTCATGACCTCGAATACGAAAATGGGACTTTTTGTATTCAATTTTTTAGAAACAATAAAGAAAGTCGTAATTGCCCATTTCATATGTACCATGAGCCAACTAATGATTTGGGTAAGGTTTCATCTGGTTCTAAGCCACTCGAATAGAAAGAAAAGCATATGTGTCTTGTGAATTAGTGATATCTTTTAAGCATTATATTAGTAACCAACTGTAATAAGAAATACACCATTTATGCTATTGTTTTTAAATCAAGAAGATAAGAGGTGAAAGATATGTAAGTATTTCGTTGTTTTGGGAAATCTGTGGCTGGAAAAACAATATCAAAGTTTTAATTTAAAAAAGGATAAAAGTGAAAATGTTAAGCTGTTAGATCTTGTTGTTTTGTTTGTCATTATATAAAATTCATTATTGTAATTTTTGGTTAAGCATATAAGAAAAAACTTGCATGTTTTTCAATATTTTTCAATTTAGGAATTTTTGATTTAGAATGAAAAAATAAAAAGAAAATAAATAAAAAGGGCAGCATAAGATACACGAACTCGCTACATATGCTCTATATTCTAGTCATCTTAATAACCGATTAGACATATGTGCAATTTGCTATTACGTACTTCTTTTTTTATTCATTCAACATAATGAATACTTTGACCACCTGGATAGGTTCCAAAAATCGGATTAGGGTTCTTTTTCACTTGCATGAAGTAACTGTTCTAGCAAACATTGAAACGATTCGACGGTTCAATTGTCTATGGAAACTCGATACTTGATACCGTTTTCTTTGTAATTACTTGAGAAGTATACCGCCATTAGTAGCAAGATTAAGTCCCCAAAAATAAAAACAATTCACGATTTGCTGGCCTATTGGAACGAGATCAAGAATAACCGAGAGAAATCACCGATTAAGCAATGGTTATAGTTTACGAAGGTCTAATGAAACAGTTTTATATGCACATGAGTTCATTCTAAAATGTGCGAACAAAAATAATGAAAATTTCATTTTTTCAAATGAAACCCCCTTGTAAGAGCGTCGAAGGACCACTCTGTTTTTTGCTCATGGAAGCAGTGGACTCTGTCATGAATGAAAAGTCGTGGAATTGCCAAACACTTAAATTTTGCGGTGTGCTGTGTAACACGCATCCCTACCCGATCGCGTCCATACACGGAGCTTTTCGTCAATAAAGAGAATCACACACGTAACTTTGTTTTACTCTCAAACACCCCTATATTTTATTATTTTAAATATTAATTATATAAATTTAAGTTTCTGTAACGTCTAACCTAACTTCCATCCTAAATCATTCTATTTGAATATTGTAATATTAATTATAGAATCAATGACCAGCATTTCATCAAAATTAACTAAATTTTATCATTGTTTTCATTTATTTGTTTTTCTTTATACGTCGGTTACATATCGTTATTGATTTTCGTTGTTGTTATTGAATCTATACACTTTAGTTTGCCCTCTTTCATGCCACTGTGCTTAGTTTACGATATGCCCTGAAAGTGACGTTCAAATATTTTGTAGCGGCCCCAATTATTTAGCATCATTAAACGTTACGATAGATAGACCATTTGAATTTGATGAGGATTTGATACGCTAACATTGTTGCGCTGAACATACGCAAACGGAAATATTGACAATTATTAAGCATAAATTTGAAACGGATTTGTTAACATTGTTCTACTAAGAACGTGTATGAATTTTTAACTTTTACTTTGGAACTTTTGCAATTATCAATGATAAAAAACAACTTCAAATAAATATCTTACTTTATGCGGCCAACAAGTATACATTCCATTCCAAATTCCACTTTTAATGAACTCTCTGTCACGACAGATAGCAATAGTCGGTAGGTTAGCAAAGTAACAAAAATAAAGGGCTAACGGAGAGAGCGGCATCCAATGAACCTTTAAACCAATATCAAAAACATTTGTCACATATCGTTATCTAAACAATCACGACATAAGAACTCCCAAATGAATAATTAAAATTTGAGATTAGCTCATTGCTCTTGTGGTTAGCCTGGTTCAGAAAGTAATTAACCAGTAAAACCAA